AACCCTGTGCACCCAGAGACGTGACCCTTAGCTGCCCCTCTGTGCCCTGGCATCAAGCCCTGCTTGGAGGAACCCAACAACCCAGTGTGTCTCCCAGCACCACGAGGTAGTTTTTAGCCTGAAAAGTGTTATGGCAACAGGCGATCAAACCGAACGTACTGGGGAGTCACTTGACATGGATGAGATATACCAGCGTTCCAAAGGGAAAGATACAGTTTGTGTGGCCAGCGTGGATCCTGCTTCCTGTGAGCGCCTTTTGCCTATGCTTTCGAACCCTGCTCCCCGTTTCCACCGCACCAGTTTCCTTCTGCTGGTGGGAGTTCCAGGGTAGGTTCTGTCTGGAAGAATAGGTCGTAGCTGTCAAACGTAATAGCAGGTGTCTGGAGCCAAGTAAGGTCTTACTAGAGCCGTGGCTGTGACTATGAAACCAACACAGACGAATCTGTGAGGTTACTGGTTGAACAAAGAACTTGTAGAGGACGCTTAAGCCTAAAATCCATCTTCTGTTTGAGTTTCCACGGTTGGGGGACTTGCTTGTAGCACTGAGGAGCTATGAGCTGTAGCCGCTTTTCTTGACTGCTTTGCTTGTTGTGAACTCAATTTTAAGTCATCCCAGAAAGAAAATCTAGCCATTCGGAAACATTGACTCCATTTGAGTTTACATGACCAGTCTTAAACCCAGTTATTTATTTGTGTACCTGTTTCGTACTAGGTGCTTTTTCTATATTACTTGAAACAAAGTTGACATTCTCAGTTTAGGGCGATTCTTCTATCCCCAAACAAAATATCACCTTATAGATCTGTAGTTTTCTTAGTGCATTCTTTTCATTAGGAAGTAAATCTCACTTATCGGCTGCTGATAAAACTAAAGTAAGTTTGTGTGTGTGGGTGGTGAGAGTGTTATGATGTGAGATCCTCACCTGAATTATTAGATTTTTACCCCCAAATACTGTAACTATGCCTGCTATGTTCACCGAATGGTGACGGCCAGCCCCTTCTCCCCAGTAAGGACCTGAATTCACTCCACTCTGGTATCTCAGTATTTCTGGTATCTGCTGAATGCAACACATTGATGGGTTGTTCATCACTTTTGAAGATGAACTTTCCAGGGTATCAGTCACTGAGACAGTGTCTTACTAGGATGTCAGGGAAAACTAAAGCTCTGTCCTAAGGAGAGAGAAATAACTGTAATTATTTGCATTTGATACACATGACGTACAAAAAAGTGCCACGACGGCAAGGAATCTTTCTTTTCTAAGTCACTCTGGATTGTTTTCCTATTGCTAGTACCTTTTTCAAATCTATGGCTGAAGGTGGTGGAGGAATC